GAATAAATGAAAATAAGTTGAAACTTGATGAACATAAGATTTATGTGTTGCATATCTTTCTATATGAGCATGTATGATGCATGAAGATGTGGTATCCTATTCCTGATGATTTATTTTTTTGAAATTAATTACTCTGATTTTTATTTTAATTACTGACGGGGGAATATGGTGTTACATTTGGTATCAAAGCAGGTCGGTCGGTCTGACCAAGTTGTTGAGTCTGTAGTGTGACAGTTGAATATTTTTGTTGTTTTATTCCATAGTACGCAACATGCGTTTGAAACAATGTTGGTACTTTCTTGTTGTTCTAATCACTTGTTTTCAGGAGGGAGATTGAAACGAGTGGGGGAGAAGATGTTGCTTTTCAAGGAGGTTTTAGTTATGAGGTGTGCATAGTTGGTTCAGGCGCGGACAATTGGTTTAGTATATCGTGAATTACATGGGTGCCGATGTTAGTGCTACTGAGTTGTTTTCTGATTTTGAAGTAAGTATGGATTTGAGAATTATGCCTAATGGATAGTCGAAGTGTCCTTGAGAAGGAATGATCAAGTACTCGTGTTGTTCACATCTCTAAGAGTGGAGGGTGATGTTATGGATAATGAAGTGCCAGTTGTGGGTGAGTTTTGATGTCTTCCCGGGGGCAATTACGACTTGTCGTTAGAAAGAGATGTTGGATTAACTTAATGTTATCTTTGGAGTGAACTGTTTAGAGTTAGACAAAATGATTATGAATTATTTTGATGAGTCAATGCATATTATTATGCTAGAAGATATATGTTAAGAAATAAGGATAACTCTTAGAATGTGGAACTCGTATGATTATAATGTTTTCAGCACTACATGTTGATCGTGAAGTTGTCAATGTTAAGTTACCATTGTGCGTGATGTCATTGTTCAGAATAATGTTGGAGTGATGAATTGCTGGGAATTTTGCTGTTGGAATCATGTAAGTGGTTGTTGAATGTTATTAATGTTGTTGAGTATTTATGAATCGCGAGACAGAGTCCGAACTCAAAGGTATTAGTAGTATTGTGAAAATAATTGGGATATTGATGTTTTGGTATGATTAGGAGTGAATGTTGGTGTTTAAATTGGTGAGATGTATTTGACGTGTCAGTGATGGAATTGATGCGATATAATTGAGTAATTGCATACTTAAATGTGTTACTTTGTGAATTGGAACATTGATAATGATGTATATAGATAGAAATTATAATTTGGAACATGAATGATGAAGTATGTGGATGTTAGGGATGTTTAAGTACGAAATAAGTGGTTTTCGTAACATAAAAAATCTGATTTTTTTACTCTGGTTCAATGGTAACCGGTTACTGGAATTGAGTAACCGGTTAGCGTTAAAAAATTAACCTTTTGGCTGTTTTTAGGGGTGTAACTGGTTACCACTATGAGGGTAACTCGTTACTGCTGAGTTGATAATATTTTGTAATTCTTTGAAAAATTTATAACTTGAGTTTTAGACGTCCGATTTGAGTTTCTTTGAAGCACTAGAAAGCTAATGTGATGAACTTTGTTTTAAAAATTATTCCAGAACCTGGAAGTAATTTATTTGTCACGTGAAGAGGTTGGATGAGAGGCATAGTTTGATGTTGATCTCGTTCTTGGTACCAGACTTGTTCCTATGGCACCATACATGATTTCAGCTCAAAGTTGAGAGAATTGGAGGATTTATTAGAAGATGTGCAGAGAAATATATTTGTAAAACCGAGTGTATCATTTTGGTAGCTTTGATGTCATTAGTTAAGGAGAAATAAAGTAGTATGAAATTTTATGTGGATTATCGATAACTGGTATAAGTAGTGATTAAGGGTACAAATCCACTTCAAATGATTGACGATTTGATCGTATCAGATAGGATAAACTTGTCTTTCTTGATTGATAGTGAGTGAACTGAATTGACGTATTAACTAGAAGTTTGTTATTCACCATTATGTGTGAACCTAATGCAAAAGTGAACCCTTATTTTCTGGTGGATGCTAAAGAGAGTTTAAAGATAGACGTGGAACTTGTAGGTATGACGGTTGACAGGAATCAAAATGGGGACATTGACTTTGAGGTAACTGATCAAATTGGTATAGCCAAAGCATGAATGTGGAACACTTCCTTATGCGTGTATGACTTATTAGGAGTCGAGGGTTAAATATTAGATGACTGAAGGAATGATGCAAACCCACTGATATTCAAGAATGGAAGTGATAGGTGGAGGGTTTGTATGTTTTTCATGTTGCTGACATGTCAATAGAATATATTGAATTGTGTGTTCGATTAGTGAGATATAGCATTGTAGTTCTGGTGTGTATGTGTGTCACCATTGTCGATATTATGGTTAAGTTTATGTGCTTATGACGATATTTTCGTGTAATGAAATGATAGATTTTTTATCCTAGGATGCTGGAACGAGGAGTGAGATGAACTGGTGCGTTCATAACTTGATAGAAAGAAATTTTGTGAGATCATGGTGGTTGACTAGGTGAGATGTTGGTTAGTAATACTTGAAATGATGCAAAACATGACGTGGGAGTTAGAAGGAAGGATGTGATAGTCATATCCAGAGTTGTTAGTATCAGGTCATTTTTTAGGACGGAAATATTCTAAGTGGGGGAGAGTTGTAACAACCCGATTTAATTAGAATTGTTTTTAATTAAATAATTAGAGGATGGGGTGTTAGAACAAGGGTTCTTAAATGCAAGAAGTTCAAGGGAAAAGGAAGTGAACCAACACAATTGATGATATTGTAGATATTACTGAACTTTCATGATGTATTTGGCTTATGTATTTTTGTTATGTTGAACAAATTGGAGACATGATGTATTTTATTTTTCCTTTATTGGCTTTATGTATTTATGTTATATTGTATTTTGAGTCATGAACAATTTCAACATGTGACCTTGTTATGATGTATTATGCCATTTGACTTTATGTATTTTGGATACATTAACCATCATTATATTTTGGTAATATTTGATTGGCTTTATGATGTACCTTTGTTGTATCTTGGTTATGCCTTTTTACCTCTTATCTTATTTTAGATGATTAATAAATAGGAAAGATAACAATAAAATTACAACATACAAGAACCAAAATCAAAACATCATATTCATTCATTAAATATGCATTACAGGTTGAACTAAGGATGAAATTCATAATGATTGTTTGTTATAGGCACGAAAAACAAAAAACAATACAATCTAATTCAAATGGGAATCACTACCATTCCTAGTAAGCAATGAACAAACTCCATGACACAATCAAAATAAGCTTGAACAAATTGGTTTTTCTCCTTTCTTTTTGGCAAAATACCTTTTTTAGTCCTTTAAGTTTACCCCAATGTCCATTTTGGTCATTTATCTAAAAAAAGTGTCAAACTGGTCTTATAATTCTTTCAAAAGGACCATAGGAGTCCTTTCCGTCCATTTTGGTCCTTTTTGGTTCATTGGAGAAGCTGCAAAATGAGTTTGGTGGAGCAAAGATGAAGATACATCATCTAAAGGAAAGGAAGGATGGGCTGAAACATAAGATAATGGAGTTACAAATTGAAATGAAGAAGGATGGGCTGAAACATAAAGGACCAAAATAGACGGAAAGGACTCATATGGTCCTTTTGAAAGAATTATAGGACCAGTTTGACACTTTTTTTAGATAAAGGACCAAAATGGACCTTGGGGTAAACTTAAAGGACCAAAAAGGGTATTTTGCCTTTCTTTTTCTATCTTCATCTTTATTTTCTATTTTTTTATAATCTCAAACTCCTTAACTATGCAACCTAAATCCTTCATAACCTTTGAGCAATTGCATATACTTGAAGTTATGGGTTCACTTAATGTGTTTCATTTAAGTTCATCATCCCCTATGAACAACTTGCAACTTGACATTAACCTAGAGTTTTGACACTTTCAATATCTCTGTTTAGGCTTTTCAAGTGAGTTTGACATAAATAATTTCATTGATCTATTGCAACTACATACTGACAATTGAAAAAAACACACACACACACACAGAGAGAGAGAGAGAGGAATTTGCAAAATGATAATTTTTTTTGAATTTCATCCCTCCTTTTATTAATTATGCGTTGCAATTTTTCATATAATAATGAGTGTCTTAATAAAAATAAAAAATAATAAAAATGAGGTTAGCAAGATTTATCACATGAATTTTTTTAATAAAACGTTGATGCCAGAAACCAGCATATATGGATTTGAAAAAAAAATTGATATAGAGACCAAAATCAAACATTCACCAACTTATCAAAAATAAACTATTTAAGCCTATTATTTTTAATAAGTTAAATATTCTCTGTACGTAACAACGAAATAGACCATTCATTTAAATAAATAATCCTAGTTAACCAGTAAAAAAATGTCTTACCATTGAGTACTTTTTGCTTTTGGATAGGTTGATTTGATTTTTCAATGGAAAAAAACTTAGGTGTATTTTCTTAAGTGTGGTTTATATATTTTTCCAATAAAAATATGATAAATATATAATTTTCTCATACATATATATAATTTCTTCTTATTTTTACTTCTTAAAAGATATTTAAATATATTTATCATATTTTTATTAGAAAAAAAGTATAAATCATATTTATAAAATTGTATCCAAATAGTTTTCTTCTTAATAAAGAGTGATTAATTTTATAAGATTTTTTATTTATTCAAAATAAAACAATTAGACTTTTCCAAATCATATATGATTACAAACTTTGGATTTTTAGGTTTCTTAACTTTACGACCCAAGAATTTGAATAAAATTAGGGTTTACACAAACACAGGAAAGTTCCTTACTCAGTCTCCACACGCTCTCTCTCCCTCGAGTTTCCCTCTGCTCTCAATTTTCTCAGGTTAGATTCTCAATTCATTTTCTTTCTTCATAATTTGTTTACCTTTTTCATAATTTTTTTTGTAGTATATGATGAATACTATTCACCGATTATACACACTAGTAAATAATTTAGTTATTTTTTTGTTGTTAGGGTTAACAACATGAAGGCAAAATATCCAACCGAAGAAAAGTTACTTAGAGAATTTATCAACCTAACCAATTTGAGTCATTTCACTGAGGTATACAACAGGCTGATGCTTATTAAGGAAAGCAAGAAGAAGGCATATAATGAAGCAATCTGTTCAACTTATAACAAGCAATTATGTATTTTTGTTTGTTGTATGATAAATGAGTTATCTTCTGGATTCCTCACCCCTGTGATAACAGTGCTGGATGCCATAGGTATAAAACCTACAGTTTATCCCTCAGAAACCTACTACCAAACATTTGATGAACAAAAAATATATGTTTGTCAAACTGATAACAAATTAAGAATACATCAATTCGTGGACAACCGTGAACGGGGCAATGCACGGGGTTTATGTAAGTTGTTGGATTGGCCTACAATACTTGTTTACTTTGGTTGTTGTATACTTATCCTTTTCAATAAGTTTATCAGTGAGGAAAACTATAAAACTTTCATGACAGAGTCTATTCGTCATCTTAGAGAGAGAGCTAGATGTGATCCCGATGTTAAGCTTGATATCCCATTTGATTTTAAAGAAGCTAACGCAATCAAAACTATGATTGGTTCTTGTTCAACTCTTTGCAGTCATTCAATTGAGTTTCTTTTGTGGCACATGAACTGCCAAAATTCAGGAATAGGTTTTGTATGTCAATATTTGGGAAATGAGTTAGCTTGGATGGATATGCATCATTTGGTTCTCATGAACGACTATTTAGTTACATCTAAATCTCCTGTGTTACGCGATCTTAGAGTTTCAAGAGAGGTGGAAGATTTAAATCGAGCCATTACAAAAGTTTCTTCCTATCGTTACCCTCAGTTCTACATGTTTATGGTTTCTAATTTGGAAAGGTTTAAAATAGAACCTTTTGTATTTCCTACTTTAATTGCCGTTGCACAGGTGCTGGAGAAAGGTGACTACAATGTTACAAATCTTGAATCATCTTCAACTAAAGCTGCAAATTTATCCATGGTGCAATCTTTGGTAACACTTCACCAAACAGCTTTTCCACAAAATCATTCAAGCCCTTCGAGTGTGCAAATGCAAGCGGTGAAAGAAGAGAATCGTCAAAAGCGTTCAAGGACTCCAATGGAACAAAAGAATCAAATCTTAAGGGCTTCAAATGTGCAAATGCCACCTATAATACAAGAGAAGACTCATTTGATTATCTTGGATTAGTAGACTCACTATATCATTCTTTTATTTTGAGATTACCAACTAAATGCTTGGTTTTGAGACTTTTATGAAGTTTTTTTCAGATAGTTACTTTTACATTCTCAATAAAATTACTATATGTATGCAGCTTAGCAATATATAGCAATGTTAGTTCAGAATGGTCTGTTATGTGGTATCGTTTTGCAGGAAACGAGAAGTTCTTCTCAAGATAGCAAACAATTTTAAATAATAACTAAATGGAAGTGTTATTTTTATGTCACGTGCGCCAGATATCTATTAAACTCAATCTCTATCTCTCTATTTTGTGTATAAAATGAATTTTCAGGTTACAGGAGAGTTAGGAACACTTCCATTTTAATATTCTCCCAAAAACACCCACTTTCTTATTAGAAAAAATAAATGCACGTCTTTCAATCAATTATATATATATATATATATATATATATATATATATATATATATATATATATATATATATATATATATATATATATATATATATATATATATATATATATATATATATATATATATATATATATATATATATATATATATATATATATATATATATATATATATATATATATATATATACACACACACACGAGTCTTTCATTTAGAAATAGATCTCATACAAATTGGTAGAATTCATGTGTTTTAATTTATAAAAGATTAAGTGTTACCGAGTGTTAAAAAAGAATATTTCTAGCATTCCTCTTCAAGTTAGAGGAGTACTAGGAATACTTTCAAACATTCATTCTCTTATTGAGTGAAATACATGTGGGTTCCTCTTCCCCATCTTGGAAATTGGTCTCACGTAAAGTGATTGGACCCATATGTATTTTCTCCAATAAAAGACTGAATGTTAGAGAGAGTGTTAAAAAGAGTGGTATTGATACTTCTCTATGATTTAACAGATATTCACTACTGCGAAAAAGGGATACCACAACGGCTGACCAACCGCTGTGAGGTAAGGTATGGTTGTATATATGATATCTTATATCACGATCGCGCGATCGTGATTATATGTCAGAAAGCACGCTAACTATCACAACGGTTACTTTAAAAAACTGTTGGGATATACTTTAATGAAAACTTTTAACAACGGTTGTTCTAAACAACCATTGTGATATATACACTGAGTTTATTATAAAATATGTGAAATGTTTATTTCTCCAATACTCACTAAACATATAACCTTTCAGTCTGATCTAAAATATTATAATATGAAAAATTAAGTTATATTAGAAGAACAATTTACACGTTCAATGCTAAACAAGAATTCTTCATCTCTTTTCAGTATTTTACTCTTTAATTGTTAGAACTTATTTTAATGCTCCTAGTTTTTCAATTCCCCTTCCTTCACCGCTAATTCAATTTGAAACATATTACATTGCAAACTAAATTAGAGATGAAGGAAGAGGAGGTTTAAAAATATGAAGGGTTAATATAAATTCTCACTATTAAACAGCAAAATGTAGATAATGGACTGAATGATTCTTGTCTAGAATTGAACGTGTAACTTGTTTTCAAATATAAATTTATCTATCATATTATAATTTTCTAATGTAATCCGAAAAGTTATATATTTGGTAAGATGTTTTAAAAACACTCAAACCACATAAGATGTAATAAACTCATCTAAAACAAATATTAACAACAACATTCATCAACAATAAACCTTAATCAACATAAAACTTATATGTAATAAGAACAGCATCAACTCATAAAATGTGTCAGAAACGTACATGTCCCATAATAGAATCAAAAAATGAAAAGAAAGGAGGATGAAGCTGAAGAGAGAGCAGCAAACATGTGTTAATCAGTACGTTTGCAATGGTAACACAAGTTTGCTATGCTAATTTTAGCTTCATCCTCATTAATTTTTTCATTTATCCATCCATACCTACAAGTCAAAACAAGCAGAATCATAAACGTAAACATAAATAGGTCAAAACAAGCATAATCATAAACATAAACATAATCAAGTCAAAACATTATAAAACATCATATTGAAATCTAAAGAATAATAAATAAAAAGAGTTTGAATCATAAACGAAATCGCTGGGTAGGTTTAGTGAAGAAGAACCTGAAGGTACCCATAGGATTGAAGAAAACAAAATCGTTGCATACGTCTGGGGTTTTGTTTTGAGAGAGAAGAGATGAGTGATTGTATAAGTTAGGGTTTTGTTTTGACAGAGAAGAGTGAAATATGTTAGGATTTTCTTATTCCTGGAAAACTCAGGGAGATGGAATTGTTGAGCAAAAGACTAGAGCAATACAAGAATCATCTAGATTCATGCTTAGTGCTAAGCAATTGCCATTTTAATTTTGGGCTGAAGCTATGAATACTGCTTACTATATTCATAATAGGGTCACTTTGAGAGAAGGTACAATCACTACTTTCTATAAGTTTTGGAAAGTAATGAAACCTAAAGTTAAATGCTTTCATATCTTTGGAAGTAAATGTCAGATCTTTATTTCTGGGTTACTCTTCAAGCAGAAGAGCGTATAGGGTTTATAACTCCATAACTGGTATGACAATGGAATCTATCAATGTGAAAATTGATGATTCAATTACTAAAGAGAAGGAGGGTGTCAGAGATAATGTTGGAACATCACATGTGCAACCGTATGAAGCACTAAGATAGGATATTTGTGAATTCACAAACACTAAGTCAGTCAATTCTCAATCGATCACAGGGATGTCTACTGAGCAACAGAAAGATCAAACCAGGGAACTGAATGCAAGTCACCCTAATAAAGGTAACATCACTACATTTAAAAATATAATATCAAGTATAAATGGATGTGTTGCCTTAAGGAAAACAAGAGGAAGTTTCTCTGAACTAGTGTTGAAGAGATATGATGTCAAGAAATATGTAAGGACCTTGGTAGTTGCAATCAACTAATCAAGAAACTTATTGAAAGGAAGGTTGTAACTCTAGAGCAAATGGAAAACAAGGAACAACTTGTTGTTAAAAAAATAGTGGGATTGGAACTTCTACTATTGAAGACTTATAGCAATTACAGAAATGGGGGAATGCAACTAAAGTTGCATCTTTCCTCTATACTCTAAGGAATAACATGTCTGGATAAATTGCTACTGAGAAGTGATGGAAGGAAGATATTCTGCATGATTGTAGGGTTGTCTACAACACCAAGGAATACATAAGGCTCTTTGATAGGGAAAAAAGGCTCTTTTGAAATTATGGTATTCAGGTCTCAGATGTCCTAATACATGTCAAGACATTGATCTATGAGCATAACACGCAACAGCAAGGTAAACATACATAAAATAATACTGAAAAGTAAAGGAACACACAAAATTTTTAATCCAATTTGATATACAATAACATCTACTTTAGGGGCTACCAAGCCAGAAAGGAAGTCCACTATTAGCATTATTATCTCAAAGCTAAACTAGTCCCGAGTTTACAACTTCTCGCCTAATCACTACCTAATGCTACTTCTACCTAGGTCCTCCCTAGAAATGAGAAATCGACATCCTACTTTCAATCACTACAGTGATAAAAGACCTATCACAATCACAGGGTTGTCTATAAACAAGTCACAATCACAAGAACTTGAAACCAAAACTAAACTGAAGTTTACACTTCAATCACAAATACCTAGTCTTGCTTAAAAGCTTCAACCAAGAACAATACTCGGATTTGCTTACAAGCTTACTCCAAGAACAATAATCAACTTTATGCTTAAAAGCTCATGAGTGATTCATAGTTACAACTCAACTAACAACATTCCTCTTCTTCTATCAACGTGATATTAGATATGCTCACAAATAACACAAACCAACTCTTCTAGAGAGTGGCTCACAGAAGAAGCCCTAATATATGATAATTTTACATACTTGACTCATATCTACTTTAGGTTTAGAATCTTCTATTTATAACCTTTTTCTGAACTGGATTTAGGTTTCAAAACACAACAAAATAGCTGCTAAAAATGCTCTAAGATATTCTCCACAAATTTAAGACTTCAATCATTTAGTTTCCTAAAAAATCTCCATATTTAGAAACTGAGAATACTCCTTAAAAACATATAGAATCTTCTATCCTTAAATTGAGCGCCACATAGGATTGCATAATATTCCCAAAATATTCTATGTGTGTAACAAAGTAACAATTTCCAAATGTCCAGTTGTACACAGACACAATGTCGGATGATTCTTCATATGACATATTTATTCGACATATTTCTCTAGTTGATACAACATCTTATTTCAATATTTCTATGCTAAGTTAGTTTTACCAAACATAATGTCAATCACAACAAAATAGAGAATTAACAATCCTCTTTTGGCTTATTTTGGCTAAAACAACTTAGTACTTCTTCCACACATGAACAACAATATAGCTCAGGTTTAAAAAAAACTCAAACACACAAATAATCAGAGACACAACAATATAGGTCAGTACAAGACATATCAGAGCAACAACTAGAGGAAGCTACTCAACATAACACATAAGAGAATATCAAATTCTCAACATGTCAGGACATCATGTTTGACAAATCTCCACAGCAGTTCAGTCCAGAGAACAAAACCTGCTAAACATGATAAGTGTCATACTCTAAATTTGTCTTACCCTTATTTCAGTTCATCTGGTTTATTAAATTTCATTTGCATACTTACCATTAGGTCATATTCATTGCTACACTCATGTGATCAAGGTTTTTAGGGTTCCTCATGGCTCAAGATTATCCATTAGGCAAGAGTTTGAGTTTCTCAGAGAAAGTTGTGTGGGATCTAATTTTAATGAGCCTCTTATTGATACAAGTTCACTGGCTCCTTGGATTTCTCAAGAATCTCTGAAAAATTAGGGTTTGATCTTCAGTAACCATCTCCTAAGCTATTCAATGAAAAATTAGGGTTTTGGCCCTTTTCAAGTTGTAAGCATCATTTTCATCAAGCAAACATATATAAGAAGTTTTTCTCATTCATTATCAACAACACAAGCCCTCTCTTCCTCTCCCACTAA